AATTGAACTTAATTTACACCTAGGTTCAAAATGGTTTTGAATAAGAAATTGGCTTACCTTAAATATAAGGGAATAATTAAGATTAGGGCAGTCTGTTATTCCAAAACAATTTTACTTCGTTCATATAACCTTCAACTTTCACGACAATGAATTGAATTTGATCTATACCTGAATTACAATTATGCTTTGTAGTATATATTTATTTTATTATTATATATTACTGAATTTATGGCATGTTTACAATACAGTTTATATGTTCTTATTTTAGAAACATATCAGCAACACCTTCAGATTCTGATGCTTCACTAACCACCACTGTGCCTCAGTCTCTTGCTGCTGCCAATATTCAAATTTACGCACTTACTCAAGAAATCGCAAAATTGAAAGAGAACCTCAAATTGAAGGAGGAAAACTTAAGATTGAAAAACACTAATTATTTGTCAGGGGCCCTACCAGGAACTACTGGCAATGGAACGAAGATTCCCGCCTGGGGCCCTACCATGAACTACTTGGAATGGAACGAAGATTTGGAACGAGAAGTTGGGAAAGTTTGATTCCATGTCATCTCTAAATCGTACCATGAACACTCACTTGGAATCAGACATTCCAAGATTCTGGTTCTAAGGCCGTGGCTTGAATTTAACCAATCGCTGAATTTATTCAATATTTATTTTCGCAATATGGCAACATTGTTTTAGCAACCGTGTGTTTTGAACTTGGCCACGAGAATTAATATCGTTGTTTGCCAAGGTTTTGAAATACTGATTTACACAAACATGGGTAAAAAGATTACGCAAAATCAGATTGAAAAATTGGTGTCTTTTATGGAGCAACACCCAGCATTCTATAAAGGTGAACTCACTACGAAATTCGTGAATAAGGATAAAGAAAGGATATGGCTGGCATTGCAGTTGGAACTGCACGCTATCGGAAGCTGCCATAAAACTGTGGAGAAATGGAGAGAAGTACTTTTTGTAGTATATACTATTTATTTTCATGGATATCGTTGGTAGTATTTGTTCCCTTTCAATGTTTCTGAGAAATGAAGAAAATTTTCGCAAAATAGCATTGAAATCTTAAGTTAAAAATAAACAAAAAATGAGAATAAAAATTTGCCGGCATTTGATAAAATTATGATTTTTTTTCTTATGTTTAGAAGTATTGTTACTGCATACTTTTCCAAAAGTTTTGGACTGCAGCTAGATACAATGTTTTGCAACCCCCTTATAAAAGTAAAACCTATTTCTTTACTTTTTGCGAAATAAAAATGCAGAATAGTTATATACAGAAAAAATGTAATTTAAGAAATTTACAATTGTATTAATTTATAACTTAAGTAAATAAAGTAAACTTTATTTCCACATATATTGACCTTAGTTTAAAGGATGATATTTGTCATCACAGTAGTTTCAAATTAGGAGATGATGATAATTTTATTTTCAAATTTGGTTTCAGTTCAAATATGTTTCGATACTTATTTTTTAAGTACACTAAAGCTGAGAATGCTGATTCACACATATAAGGCCATAAATATTATATAGCTTTTTCTCTTACTCTTGCATACACCTTTTGACTGTGCAACCAAAAATTAACTAGTATCAAACAGTATTATTAAATCGGTACCACATAAAATCCAGATTGTGCACCCGACTCACTCGTTCATAATTTTGTTTTTCATTGGTCATCTCTTAAAGACAGTTTACATTTTCTGTTTGACTAAAGTTAATCATTCAATGCAAGCAACAGATGTGTATAAGCAGCTGTACTTTTCAAGTGATCACAATTTTGAGTTTGATTTATTTGAATATTAGGCTAGCTGGTAATTTTAGAAATTTGTTTAAAAAGTCCGTTTTTCAAACAAATTTTGCCAATATATATGGGGGACAAAAGAGTTGAAACTAGTTTTTAAGAGTTAATTAATATTACAGTATTTAAGACTTAATTATAATTATTGCTAAGAAGCTTTTTATAGAGATTTTGTGTTCCCAAAAAATTTTAAATTTTATTTTAATCTGGCAAAATTTTTAAAAGATTTTATTTGCTTTGTAATATATGTAGTGTCTCAATGGAGAATTAAATGTCCTCATTATTATGAATAGGATATAATTTAATTTTTGTGTCTAATATGAAATTTTTATTTATATAGTGTTGGACTCAGTTGAAAGCAGACGCAAAAAGGCGCTACCTAAAATTTCAAACATATAGCAGAGGAACAGGGGGAGGACCAGCTCCCTAGCCCCTCAGTGCTCTTGATGAAAGGGTTCTGGCATTGATAGGGAGCGATGCATTAAATGGGCTTCAAAATGTATGTGAAAGTAGAGTCTTTCCTCAGGTAATTAGTTGATTTTCCTTAGTTTCATGCAATTTAAACTGTTGATGTTAATATATTGCATTCACAGTTTTTTTTTCTTCCTAATTTCCTGTTTTAAATTGAAAATAATAATATAAAAATGATTAACTGCACTTTCAAATAGTATGAAGTCTTTAGTGGTACTTCAAGAAATGTCTTATCTACATAAAAATGACTTCGTACATGGAAAGATTTGTGTGAACTGCTAATAAGTTTATTAAGTTCGTTTATTAGGATTTCTGCACTTTCTAATGTAAATTATCCCATGCTAATAAAATCTTATCTGATTTTTACAGATGTTATGTGATTTATACTACAAATGTTAAGCAGAGGATGCAATTTTAATGTATGTGATCGAGTGTGTTTAATCTTATTCAACTTAGGCATTGTAAGCCATAGCTACTTCATAGTCTTGTTTTCAAATGCAAAAAAAGGAGTGCATGTTAATTTTATGAAGAGGAACATATTTTACTCTGCAATTCTCCATGTGCATTGTGTCATATATCTTTCACACATCTGGCAACATACAGTGAGAACTGAACTGAATAAGTCAGAAATCAATAATCAATCGACTCCAACGTTGTGAGAACACGTTGTGGGTTTGAACATGTATAACTTGTCTTTCTTCTATCTAAATGAATAATTAAATTGATAATGCACACTTTATTTCATTTTCCATTCATTAAATAATATTGTCTGCTCTGCTGGCTTCCTGATTATGACACATTGTTACAATCGTTGTGTGATTTCTTAATATTTCTTGAATTAAACATACTCTGTTACCACAACTTGAAAGTTAAAAGAAAAACAATTGTATAAAAATGGCTTACAGTAATATATTTTCTCATGTTAACGAGATCAGATAGTTTCTTACGCTGCCCTTGCCCATTAGTAAATTTATTTTTAGAAATTAATTTTTCTGAAATGTTTTCTCTCAGTTTTCAATTTTTTTTTAAACAGTGTTAATAAAATCTTCTAGTAAACTTTGCCTCTTAAAAGTAGTTAAATAGTAACTACATTTTGTAAATAAATTTTAACTCCTACATTAAAAAATAGTTTACCAAAAATCGTGAAACGGTAGTTTAACTGTGTTTAATAAAAAAAAATTCCTTTTCTTTCAGTTTCAACTTGATGACAAGAAGGCGGAAACACCTCTGCCATCGACATAGGCTTCCTCTCTATGAGCGATTTCGGCCTTTGAATTCCTCATACCAAACACGCCTCAATTTTCGGAAGGTGAGGCTGATATATCCTTTACCAGTGGCATCACTAACTTTCAGGTGATTACAACACGGAACTTAAAAAAGAGAGAGTGATGCCACAAGTCAAAAGTGCGGGTTTCGGCGGAGAAAGCGTCAAAAAGTGGAAAAGCTAATGTCTCCGGACAGGGCTACAACGTCTGCTCTTGAGGACATTAAAACTATGATGCAAGAGAAGAACGACATTGAAAAGTGGAAGGCTGAGGAGCGAAACGACATCGCGAGAAGAAAAGTCGATGCTTTTGAAAGAATTTCGGAAGTTTTGTCTCGTCATTTTGGTTAGCTTTTTTTATATATATAAATAAAAATAAGTAAATTTCAAACTTGTATTTCCATTTTTTTCTTCATGTATTTGTATATTATTGAGCAAATATCTATTGTTTTATATATTTTGACATACATGATAATGTTTGATACTTTTATATCAGGTTTGAAACAATTTCCCTTACCATTTTCTTTTATTGTTAGGAATTCAAATTTTTTTTTATTTAAGAGTATAAAATTCTTCTAATTGTACTTAATGTTTCAATTAACAAGATTACAGTTTTATCTGAAGTCTAGTAAACTTATGGACTGACCTTTTAAAAAAAATTTGGTGCTTGCATATTCTCTCTTCAGGATGCAGATATAAGACTATTTGTATACTTAATATTTCTATTATATTTTATTGTATGCCAGCTACTGGTCTGTCTTTTTAACCAAAATTTTAAATCTAACTCAAAAGTAGAGACAATTCTTGAGTGTAATCTGATGTTTCTCGATCCCATAATTCTCATGAAATCCAATATTTTTCAGTCCAAAGTCTGCCAATTGCAAAGCAGAGTAAAGCCTGAAATGCTCCATATGACCAGTCAGATTAGTGCATATGGGAAGGAAGTCTCTGAATATCCAAGAAAAGGTTGCTTCACGGAGGAGAGCAGACCAGTATAGAAAGTTACATCCTGACACACACTCCAAGAGTCACCTTGACGCACACTCTGGTAACTCCTAGTATAGTGTATCGCACGTAAGACTTGCCGCAGAAGGTTTGACATGGAACTTTGATACACAAACTTCCTGCCTACCGGGATGGAATGTTATGTTAGTTAGTCTTTTTTATTTATTACTAAAGGTTGTAATATTTCCGTGAATTAGTTATTGGCACAATTTATTTTCCTTTTGAGCCCCGCGTTTCTAATTTTAATAATTTAATTTTTTATTTTAATTGATTTTCATTTTTACTATACTCAATAACTCCATCTAAATGCTTCCCTTCACCCCAACTTGAAAGTGGATTATCTCACAGATGTGATTGGGTGAACAATTGCAGCGCCGCCTTTTACAAGATATGAACATGAGCGGAAAAAGGAGATGCAACCTTTTTTGGCAATCCTGCGTGACGGTCCTGCTGTATGGCAGTCTACAGGAGCAAACTTATTCAGCCAGACACCATTGCCATGGTGCCAGTGCATGGTTATATCAACAGAACCATCTACAGCCCTGACTCCATACGATGGTTGGATTATGTAGCAGAGGATCAAGGCATTATGATTGAGCATGCTTTGTCAAACAAGGGGGAAGTCAAGATTGGAGGAATGTCAGTGGATGGTCTTTGCCGGGAAACCAAAACCATCTACCAATATCATGTAATTATTATTTTATTGTTTTTTGAAATAGTGTTTAAAAATGTTTTCTAACTTTAACATGTTTTTGTTTATATTTTCACAGGGTTGCTTCTTCCATGGCTGTTTGACCTGTTATGATGCGGATACTCAACATCCGTTCAAAAAGATGTCAATGGGAAAATTAAGGGCAGCCACCCAGGAAACCACCGAAAAATTCAGGGGCTTAGGCTATCAAGTCATAGAGATGTGGGAGCATCATTTTCAAGAATTGAAGAAGGATATGCCCGAACTACAGAAGTTTCTGAAAAGCCATAAAATGGTGGACAGACTCAACCCTAGAGAGTCCTTTTTCGGCGGTCGGACAAATGCCGTTCGACTATTTTATGAGGGCGAAGCCAAGTATGTAGATTTCACCTCGTTATATCCATGGGTAAGCATGCATTTTTAGAATTTTCACTTTTTTTATGAAAACTTATTGTGTCTGTCTTAATTATTTTAAATTTTTCAGCTCAACAAATACTGTTTATATCCAGCGGGTCATTCCAAAGTAATAACGACTGACTTCGATACAGTGTCGCCCCCTAGTGGTCTCTTCCTACCTGTTTTACCATACAGATCCAACGAAAAATTGATGTTCCCCCTATGCCGGACGTGTGCGGATACTCTATCACAAGTCGCTTGCACTCACACCGAAGAAGAGAAAGCCATCACGGGCACATGGGTAACTGAAGAAGTCAAGTTGGCAGTGAAAAAGGGATATCGAATAGTCGAAGTAATTATCGTTTTAATGACTGTTTTGGTGATCGAAATAAATGTATGTTTTTGTTAATTATGTTTTTTCTTATTATAGATGCATAAAGTACACCATTTTCAGAACTCCTCGACGAACCTTTTCAGCTCTTACATAGATCTTTTCTTAAAAATTAAGCAGCAGAGCAGTGATTGGCCACGAGAATGTGTGACCGAAGAGGAAAAACAGCGATATCTCAGAGAATATAAGGAAAGAGAGGGTATTGATCTCGACCAAACCCAAAAAAATCCCAGAGAAAGACAGGTGTCGAAAGCATATTTGAATAATTTTTGGGGGAGGTGAGTATTTTTTCCCGATATTGTTTCCAGTCAGTGCTGTAGTAATTTTAGATTGAAATATTTTATAATCTTTATTTTCAGATGGGGTATGAATCTGAATAAGACTCACTTATGTCAACAATCTGCCGGATTTTAATAAGATGTTCGCGGACCCTACAAAAAAGGTGACACAATTTAAAATAAATTATTTTAATGAAAAAATTATCCTATTTTATTTAAAATGATTTATATATTTTTCAGGTGAAAGACATTTATTTCATTCATAATACGGCCGCCTTACAGTGGGAGTCCCGCAGCGAGTTTATCGAACAGGATGCTTCGACCAACATCTTCATTGCATCTTTTACAACTGCCTGGGCTCGTTTAAAACTTTACGAGGAAATGGAAAAGTTGGGAACCGCCCTGTTATACCATGATACCGATTCTATAATCTACGCCAGAAATGGAATCCGGCAATTGGAAATTTTTAGGAGAGTTCACTGATGAATTGGATGGTGACGTCATAACTACTTTTGTTTCTGGCAACTATCCCTTTTTTTAAACAATCTTTTGAACATTTTTAAATTCTGTATTATTAAAATGTCACTTTTATTGTCTAAAAAAATTCTTTTGAAAACTTTATCATTTTTACTTTAGGAGGAGCCAAGAACTATGCTTATTCCACAAGATCCGGAAAGACATGTTGCAAAGTGAGGGGCTTCTCGCTAAATGCCAGAAACTCGGAAATTCTAAATTTGGAGTCAGTCAAACACCTGGTACGTACTCTGGACAACACTGCAACAATCCCTCTTCAATCACTCGACTGCCGATGAAGAGGAAAATCGTGAACGTTCCGGAGACAAAAGTATATCGTATGGTATACGATAAGAGAGTAATCAACCGTGACGATTTCACAACCTTACCATACGATTATTGATTTAAGACAGTGGAGGCGACCCACTGGATAAAAAGTAGTGGAGGCTATACCCACTTAAAAAAAGCAGTGGCGACGTCCACTTTAATAACCGCGGAGTGCCACTGGGGAAGGGTTCTCGTCCCGCACTCTGGATAGTTACTTGTAACTAACAGATGTCTCCTACTTCCATTACAGAAAAATTTATTGAATTAATCATACAAATTTTATTTAGAAAATAATATTAAGCATGAGAGTACAAATGTTTGTGAGTGAATGAATGCTGTCATGAAAATGAAAGAAAAAATACATTTTTAAAAAAAAAGTAATTTCAGGCGGGCAGAAATAAGCTACTTCCGTCATCAGAAGTGACTCAATTTGTGAGGGGTGACCAGGTTAATTTTATTGTATTTATATTGTTTCTATTGTATTATATTATTGTTTTGAATCATGAATACTGATGAGAATACTGACTCGCCTGGTCTTCCAAACGTAATTGCCAATATCATCCCAGTGGCTTTAACTGCTTCATCGCTTATGTCATTGCCAATTTTTAGGGGTGGGAACAGTGGTATGAAAATTAAGGAATTTTTGGCACGTTTGGAGGATTATGCAGTTCAGTTCAACTGGTCAGAAAGTGACAAATTGTTTGCATTAAGAGATCGATTATTCGATGAAGCCAGAGAGCTCAGTGAGGAAATTAGAGAATCGGTTAAATCATATAAAGATTTAAAAACAGCTCTTTTGAAAGCTTTTGGGGAGAAAATCTCTCCCTCTCAAGCATTGTTTGACTTTATGGCATTTAAACATGATATTAATACTCCTGTTGACAGATTTATTGCCCAGGCATTTGAGAAAGTTAAAAAATTAGATTTAGGATGTGACCCTGCTATGGCAAAAATCCAACAGGAAAAAATGCTGATTAATATGTTAAAAACAAATCTTCATCCCCAAATTTTAAGAGGGGTCCTTTCAAAAAATCCCCTAACTTTAGAGGAGGTTAAGTCAGCTGCCAGGATTGAGGAACAAGCCTTTTTGGCTATAAAAAATGTGCACAACCCATTTGCAGCCCCTTTAACTGAGGTATACAGGGCTGAGGCCACTCCGGCTCCTGCTACTCCTACAAATGAGCTAGTTGCAATTTGTACTAAGCTTGCTGATCAGGTTGAGCAGCTAACTGCTAAAGTTAGCAAATTAGAATCTGATGCAAATAGAAGCTCTACCTCTAGGAGAAACATAAAATGTTTCCGCTGTGGAAGAATGGGCCACATTAGAAAATTCTGTCGGGTTAGAATTGATGATCCTCAACCAGCTGCTTTAAACTAGTAGGGGGGGCCTGTCCTGTTGTGCAGACTCAGGTGAAAACACCCCAAAAGGCACAAATTTTCTTGTCTGAATTTAGTATTTTACCTAAAATTAAAATTGAGGTCCTCGGACAACATGCTTTGGCTTTATGTGATTCAGGTGCTTCTGTAAATATAATAGAGGAATCTCTTTTACCGAAAGAGGTTAAGACTTTTCCATGCTGTACTGAACTTAAAACTTTAAGTAATACTATTAAAATTTCGAAACAAGTTAAACTTAAAATCATTATAGGGAAAATTAAATGTAATTTACAATTTTTGATTTCACCTACTACTATTTCTAAAAATTTTAATGTCATTTTGGGTCATCAATTTTTTATTGACAATAAAGCAAATCTTGATTATGGGGAGAAGGTTTTATGTATTAAGGGTGAAAAAATAGATTGGGTTAATGTAAATAAAGAATGTAAACAAAAAGCATCAGATATGGCTGAAGTTAAAGGATATTTGAATAAAAAGACTCAGTTACCACCTTTGTCACAAAAACTTGTTTTTGTAAATATTAGAGGAAATTTCCAACCCGGTTTGTTCTTAGCCGAACCTGTTACAAGAGAATTTAATTTTTTTATTGCTCGTTCAGTTGTAAATTTAAAAGGTAAAAATAAGATTCCTGTTTTGTTAATGAATACAAATAATTTTGATGTAAATGTAAATAAAAATTGTAATTTAGTTAATTTTACCAGTGCTATTTCTTCAAATGATTGTAATAAGGAACTTTTTAATGTTAATGAAGAGGAAATAGGTGATTTAGAGGAGGTGGAGTTAGAATTTAAACAGGATTTCAAAATTGATCATTTAGAGGAACCAACTAAAGATAAACTTTTAAAATTTTTAGAAGAGAATAAGGCTGTTTTTGCAAAATCTGTTAAAGATTTGCCCGGCTGTACTACTTTAATGCATAAAATTCCTCTTAGGGATGATATCCCTGTTCGTAAGAGACCCTATAAGGTACCTTACCATTTAAGGCAAGAGATGAATGACCAATTAAATATTTTGTTAGAAGCTGGAATTTTAGAGCCCTCAACTTCTCCATATAGCTCTCCAGTTATGTTAGTTAAGAAAAGTAATGGTGAATATAGATTTGTGACAGATTTTCGAGCATTAAATACTAAGGTTATACCTGATGCCTATCCTATCCCAAACATAACTGAAGCCGTTGATAACTTGTCGAGTGGAAAAATCTTCTCGTCTATTGATTTAACTAGTGGTTTCCATCAAATGTGTGTGGATCCGGCAGATCGCCATAAGCTAGCAATTACTACTCACCAGGGGTTATATCAATATACCAGAACACCTTTTGGGCTTCGCACTAGTGCCAATTCTTTTCAACGACTCATGAACATTGTTTTGTCAGGGTTAGAACCACTTAATGTAGGTATTTATATTGATGACATAATTGTTTCAAGTCAAACAATAGATGACCATTTTCCTAAGTTAAAGGCTGTGTTCCAAAGGTTGTTACAGCATAATTTAAAAATTAAACCTTCAAAATGTAAATTTCTTACTGAGACTATTAATTATTTAGGATTTGTCATTAATAAAGGTAAAGTTTTTCCTGATCAACGTAACATTGAAATAATTAATAATTTTCCTATACCAAAAAATAGAGTTGATGTTCAAAAATTTTTAGGCTCAATTAATTATTATCGTAAATTTATTTCTAATATTAGTAACCGTTCTTTACACTTAACAAATTTAACTAAGAAGAAATCTGTCTTCAAGTGGTCAGTTGAAGCTCAGAATGAATTTGATGATTTAAAAAAGTCTTTGAAAAGTGACCCTTTTTTACTTCTCCCTGACATGGAAAAGGAATTTGTACTGTATACTGATGCTAGCTCAGTTGCCATAGGTGCGGTTTTATGCCAAATGCAAGATAATTTCCCTCGACCTGTTGCATTCGGCAGTAGAAAACTAACGTCTCCCGAAACCAGATATTCAGTGACAGAAAGAGAAGCTCTTTCCATAGTGTATTTCACTAATTATTTTCGACAATATTTATTGGGTAAAAAATTCAAAATTTTTACTGACCATGCTCCTCTCACTGGATCTTTAAAATTAAAGGACTCATTTTGTAGGATTGCTAGATGGGCTTTATCCTTATCTCAATTTAACTATGAAATTTTTTATCTCCCAGGAAAAGCCAATGGAATCGCTGATTTTTTATCTAGAAATATTTCTGAGGCTCAAACAGTTAAAACTAATTTATTTATGACAGAAACAGTTACCATTTTACCAGATATTTCTTTCGAAGAGCTTTTAGAAAAGCAGAATGAGGATAGTTTTTGCAAACAAATTAAAGAAGATTTAAAATCCAGTAATTCTAATTCAAAAAGATATAAATTTTATTTAAATCAAGGTATACTAATGTGTAAATTTAAAGATAGTAATGAACAAGATGAAAGTAAATTTGTTATTCCAAAATCCTTAATTAATAATGTTTTAGAAATTTACCATGATAGTGCAGCAGTTTGCCACCAGGGCATTCATAAATCAATTAAGAGAATTAAAAAATCCTTTTTCTGGCCTAAAATGGTTAAACATATAACTAATTGGGTTAAATCTTGTGAGAGTTGCTTGGGTCGAAGAGCACACCAACCTAAACACCCTGTTCCATTTCAAAGTGTGCAAATGCCTAATGGTCCTTTTGAACATATATATTTTGATGTTGTTGGTCCCTTGCCAATTACAGAGTCAGGCAATAGATATATAGTAACTTTTACTGACAATTTTACAAAATGGTTGGAGGCTTTCCCTGTGCCTTCTGTCGAGAGTGAGACCATAGCTCGGGTTCTAATGGAATTTATTTGTAGATATGGTACACCCACTAAATTGTTTTCAGATAGGGGATCTAACTTAATTAGTCAAGGGATGGCAAAAATTTATTCGGCTTTAGGGGTTAAGAAAATTAATATTACTGCCTTCAGACCACAAAGTAACGTAGTTGAGAGAACACATAAAACAATAGCTAACTTTCTTACACACTTAGTTAATTCTTCACACACCGATTGGGATAGTAAGTTACCTTATGCTCTACTTGCTTATCGTACTTCTACTCATGATACTACTAATTTTTCACCAGCACTTTTAACTTTTGGTAGGGAATTTAATTTACCACGACAATTACTCAATACACCAGTTAAATTTTCTTATTCTGACACTATTAATTACACTGACGACTTATTGAATAAATTTAAGGTAATTTATAAGGAGGCAAAAATTAAATTTGAGCAGGCTTCTCTCGACAGACGGAACAGGAGATTGAAAGTTGCTAGGGATCCAAATCTTAAGGTTAATGACAGGGTTTTCTGGTTCAATCCTTCCATAAAAAGGAATCAATGCAAAAAATTTGCAAAACTTAATGAAGGTCCTTTTGTTATTACTAAATTTTTTTCACCTGTGTCTGTACAAATTAAACACGAGACAAGGCAAGATTGTACTAGAATAGTACATATTGAAGATTTAACTAAAATTAGTGACAGAATTCAACACGATACAAGTGACAGTAGGGAACTAATTGCTGATCAGGTAGATTCAGGTAATGATAAGGTTGAGGATAGTCCAGTTAATGAAAATATTGAAGGCATTCCTGACGAGGATATCCTTTTAAGGCAGGTTCTGGATTCTTTGGAAGTCCAGGGGACTGTAACTTTCCCTCCACCT